GGGGGGGGGGGGAGGCGGATTGACCGACGCCCAGGTTGGAGGCGCCCGAGCGCTATATCCGGTGAAAAAGCCAACCGGGCAGGTCCCCCCCAACTGGACCAAGTAAACAGGGTTCCAGGGATGGCGGGCGGTCAGTTGGGATCCGATCGCTGGCGGCGTTGGCACTCGTATCTGCCTCGTGTTCCGTCGTCCCTTCTTCCCCGAGCACGGGGGAGAGGGGGGCGTTCCTGCGCCGGAGGTCCGGCTGAGGTGGGATCTGCTCTGGCGTGCGGACGGGTGGGAAAAGGGCCCCGGCGGCGCCTTCCGACGCACTCCATCCGCCCAGACACACTTCCTCTTCTGCCCGCCCCCTTGCGCCACCTCCCTTTCCCCTCCACTGCCCTCCCCCCCTTCCCCCCCCTCCCCCTCCCCCACCCACACACACACACATCCATCCACCTCGACTGGCTCCTCGTGCCTCGGCGACATGCACTCTCTCCTGCGGTGGGCTGGCCCACTGGCCCGGCGATCAGGCACACAGCCGGCAACCGCGGCTGCCATGCATCAGCTCCTCCAGCGGTGTAGAGGGCCTCCCCGCGCCAAGGCCCCGGCCGGAGTGGCCCTTGCGTCGGGTGCCATCACCAGTGCCGGGGATGGCCCAGCCACGACACAGGCGCCGGAGGCTGAGCTGGCCTCCACTCCGGCAGCCGACCCGATGGCCGACCAAATGGCTGACATGATGGCCTCGTTGATGGCCTCTTCGGCTCCGATGCCGGGGGCAGGTGGGGCACTTGCCGGGGAGCTGCTTCCGCTGGCATCCTCCTACCAAGATCCGGTGATGGGGTTCGTTTGGGTGGCCGAGCGGGCACTCCGGCTGCTGCACGATCTGCCATCTGGAGCTGGCTTGCCGCCGGTTCCCTGGTGGCTGACCATCCTGACGCTGACGCTGGTGGCGCGATCGGCCATCAGTGTGCCGGCCACCATGTGGAGTCTGCGGCGATCCCACGCCATCGAGCGCCTGAAGCCCACGCTGGATGCCTGGCAGGCACGCTTTTCGACGGAAATGATGCGCGACGTTGTCACGGCATACGAGCGGCGTCGTGATGCCCCAGGCCCGCCTCCAAGCCCGAAGGAAGTGCTGCAAGCCGGCAACATCAACATTGTCTACGAGGATGTCGTCCCGGCGGCGCATGGTATCGAGCTGGCCCCGGCCGCGCGAAAGAAGCTCGTCCGGCAACTGGAGAAGAGGGTGCGTTGCTCTGGTCTGGGGGCTTCCTTCTTTTTTTTTCTCTCTCTCGATCGGCCCCTGCCATGCTTCCCGCTGTCCATGGCAGACGATTTAACCCCCTCGGCTGGCGGTGATGGCGGTCGGGGGTGGCGGGAAAACCCAACGTCCCGTAGATGCGCAAGCAGCGAGGCGCCGAACTCAAAGGGGCCGGCCTGTCGCACTATGCCTCGCCACCGGTCATGATGGCTGTCATGCAGATCCCCCTGTGGCTGAGTGTGTCACTGGCACTGCGGCACATGTCCGCCTTCTCCGGGGGGTCGTGGCTGCTGAATGCGGCGGCCGGGACGCCGGACCCGGCTTTCCGCCCGGCGCCGCTGCCTGGCTTCACGGAGGGTGGCTTTGGTCCCTTCCTGGATCTGACAGTGGCCGATCCCTCGGGATTGCTGCCGCTGGCCACCGGGTCGGTGCTGCTGCTGAATTCGCTGGTGCGTCGTCTGGCCGGCTTCTCCTCTTGCCCCCCTTTGCTGTGTCCCCTTCGCTGTGTCCCCTTCGCTGTGTCCCCTTCGCTGTGTCCCCTTCGCTGTGTCCCCTTCGCTGTGTCTCTTACCTTCGCTGCCCCGCTGCATCTGCTTTCTCCCGGCACGGTGTCCTTGCCCACCATGGGCCGATCCATGTAGTACACGTACCTGCGCAAGCCGGCCGGCGTGGAGCTGTCCGTGCAGATGCGGTATGTCAATGCTCTGAGTGTTTCCGGAGCTTGTGTGATCTTCGCCCTGGGCGATACCCTCCCGGCGGTGCGTTCGCGTGTCCTCTCACCGAATTTGGCGCTCTCCACCTGTCTGCATCCCCATCTCGGCCCATGTTCCTCTCTTTGCTTTGCGCCAGACACTTACCCCCCGATGGCGGTGGCGAGAGCAGGCCCTCTACTTTTACTGGCTCTCAAGCGGCGTGTTCAGCCTCAGTCAGCAGGTCCTGCTCAATAATCCCTGGTTCCGGCGGTATGTCCTGCGAGTGCCCTTCCTCCGCAGTGAGCGTGCATCGCTCATCCACCTTGGTCGGCGCCTCCAGCGTGAGGGCAAGCTCGGGGCATCTCTCCTGGCGGCCGCCCGCGGGTGGCGTATGCCGGCTTGGTGGCGGGCCTAGAGGGGGGAGAACGCGCGTGCGGGCGAACAGCGCACCCCCCTGCCGGTGCCGGAAAATAGACTCTTCCGTCGGCAGTTCTCTGCTGGCGATTGTTCCCCTCAACCTGGCAGATGCGATCTCGCTGTCCTGGGGCGGTCCTGTCCGGCGGGGGAGCGGGGGCGGGGGAGCGGGGGCGGGGGAGCGGGGGCGGGGGCGGGGAGGGGGGAGCTAGCAACAGCAAAAGGTCCAGGGGTGTCGGTGGGCCGGTGTGGCTGCATCATCGGGCG